ATAGATAAAATAAAAGGATAAAATAAAAGAAAATAAAAACAGGATAAAATAAAAGATCAGGGCTGGTGAGATGGCTCAGTGGTCTAAAGCACCTACTTAAAACAAGCTTAGCAAAGCACAGGGACCACGGTTCAATCCCCCAGCACCACATGCCAGCCAGCCCTGCCCCCTGGTGGGCTGAACTGGCCACACACACACACACACACACACATAAATAAATAAATAAAAGAAATGTTTAAAAATGTTAGTCATTGCTGGCCATTACAGAAATCCAAATTAAGGCAACACTAAAATTTATTTCACATTTATCTTAGTTACTTTTCTCTTGTTGCTGAGACAAAATGCCTAACATCCAAAAGGTAAAAGGAGAAAGGTTTATTTAGCTTAGTTTGTGGAGGTTTCAGTCCATAATCAGCTGGCTCCAAGCCAGGGTTGCCTGTCTGAGGGGCAACCATTCGTAGCGGTGGAAGGTAGCAAAAGCAACAAGAGCAAAAAGTGGAGAGCAAATCTCTTTGTCTCCCTTATAATGTAAGCTAGCTACCCATCCCAAGATGTGTCCTTTACATCCTAAGATGTAGAACTGCTGGGTCACTTAGTTGAGCTTCTAAACTTAAGTTGATTCAGTGAAAACTGACACAATCAATCATTTCAACGTCCTGGGGCATAAACAGCCACCCTAGGGCATGTCCTCTACACCCTGAGATACACAACTGCTGAGTCACTTAGTCAAGCTTTTTAAACTTCTCGAGTTGATGCAATGTATCAACCATTACAGTGTTCATTATTACTTTCAAGTAGCTGTCAAGCCTCTTGCCAGATTTTATTTGTGTTAATAAAGGAGAACATATATCACATATTTGTAAAATAGTTCTATAACTATTTCAATTTTTTCTTTTTGGTACCCTTTTTTTTTTTTTTTTGTTTTGTGAGGCGAGGTCTCACCATGTAATCCAGACTGGCCTGAAACTCAGTCATTTTGCTTCAGTCTCTCCAGGCATATTGTATCTCAGTTGATTTATGGTAATGACTCAGTTACTTTTGTGACAGAGACAAATACATTGTAAAAAGGAGTATGTCTGCATTGTCCATTTGTTGTCAGTAACTGCATTTGACCACTGAGTACTTGAAATCTGGTGTGTCTGAATTGTGATGTGCTATAACTTTACAATATACATAGTAGTTTGAACTTTTAGTGCTTAGGAAAATCTCTAGTTTTGAAAATACTGGTTATATAGTGGAATAATTTGAGTATGTTTGGGTAAATGAAAAAGCGTTTGAATTTGATAATTGGTTAAGTGGTTTAACATTTCTGGCTTTGAACGATACAGTACTTATAGTTGCATAGGTCTGCAGACTTAAGCACTATATTTAAAAGAATAAAGATATTCTCTAAAAATAGATAAAACATTAAGGGTGTATCTTTTAGGTAATACTTTACTGTAGCTTAAATGTTGTGGAATAAAAAAATCAAGATCTTTCAAAGAAATCCTTCATTTACTTTGGTTTTTTATCTTGGGTGGAAAAACTGGAAACGTTTTGGTATCAGGAGAATCTCAAAGAGAAAAGTTTTGTGTGCTTGTGAATGCCCTTCTATAATAATACTCTTAGTGTAAATTTGAAATGAAGTGTGAGAGGTTGCAAAACTTACTGGGTCTTCATGTGCAGGGTAGTTGGAATGATTTCATTTTGTGGGGAAGATAGCTTTCCTGGTATAAAAAATTGTAAGTCTGAGAGGATTGGTTACATAGTTCACTTTGTTTTCATGTGTCTATGACTGGCCTTTTGTTTCTCTCTTAGAAATGACTGCTGTCCACACTGGCAACATAAACTTCAGATGGGACCCCAAAAGTCTAGAGATCAGGACTCTGGCAGTTGAAAGACTGTTGGAACCTCTTGTTACACAGGTAAGAATTTTAAAACACAAATATATAGTTGTAACATGATTCTGTAGCAACAGGCCTGGGTTGGGTTACAAACACAAGCCCACAATTAAAGTCTTACTTTGAGCAGTTTAATTTAGATTGATAGTACTTAGATGATTTGGTTCTTCTAATAACTGAATATTTATACATGGGTTTAGCTATTGCTTTAGAACACAGCTTTTTTCTCTCGTCTTATGGCCAGTAGTAGAGGTTTGTGGTTTGTAGTGCAACTTCCCAAACGTTTACCTTTTATGGATAATTTCACCCTTCCTTTGAGGAGAAACCTAAGATTGGGTCATGGACTCTTGGTTGTTAAGAGTCTTTACTCAGCCTAATGTACTTTTTGTTATGTAACTAAAATAGTTAATTCAATTTGAAGGTATAGGTTGGATATGCTGTTACAAATACATGCATGTATTATAATATGGCATTTATTAAGTGTTATAAATAGCTGTGTATTTTTAGATTTGCATAGTTTGAGCGAGAGAGATGGGAATATTTATTATTTTAAGGAGAAAAAAATAGTTTCAAAATAAGGTAATAGAAGGGTAACGGTGAATATATTGCATGTTGTTATCTTTAGAGTACATGAGAGATCTCTTAATATTTGCTATCTTCAAAAAATTTCATTCCAGCTCAAATATAAGCTAGTATTTTATATATCTATGTAGGAATCTGTAGTTAAGACTCTGGAATGTTTACTTTCTTAAGCCCTCAGTAGGTCTTTTATTTGGCAAATTACACTATAGCAAATCTTTAATCATCTTCAACCTACAGATCATCTGGTGTTATGCTTATTAACGATAGCTAATATTCTGGTACCTAAAGTACCCTCACAGTAGGCTTCTTTGGGCAGCCATTCTTTTTAAGGATCTTTACTAATTAATTGCTAAGATTTGTGTGACTAACCTGAAGAAAGACTGCAGAAACAAGTTGTCTTAAACATTTTGCAAAGATTGATGATGTAATCAGGGAGCTTCTCCTAAAAGTGGCTTGCCAAGCAAATATTAGGTGTATTAGGGTTATCGATTGCTTGCTTGTCCTTCTGGAGTTAAAATTCTACATTGTTCTTGTCTCCAATAAAGAATTGAGTAAATGAGCAAAAAGCAGTGGCAAAGCTTATCTGAAAAGGTGAAAGTGGAGAGTGAAAGAGAATCTGGCTCTGCAGTTTGAGTTTGGGACAAGTAGAAGAGGAAAAAAGCAAGAAAAAAAGTACACTCTGGAGGAAGCAGGTTAGGCTATTGTGAGGAAAGCCGATAGTAAGCTCTTCTCTTCTAGGTTCCTGTGTTCTTTTATACAGTCCAGATGTTGAGGAAACCTGTAAGGCAGTTCTGGGATCCTACACCTCAGGCTTAGGTCAGGTCTAGGCCATCCTATTGAAAACTTGTCTGAGTTCTTGTAAGAAGTTCACATGCAGGCTTTTGGGAAGTGTTCTGTGTATGTGTTCTAGGATCTTGTAATTAACAGGTCATGTCTATTTCCATAACCAGCTTTCTCTCATCCCTAGTGTATGTTATTATCAGTAACAAAATGTAACTTTTAGGTAACTGTCTAAACTCACTGTTAACACCTTTCTGGAGCTTCTTGGTGACATAAAATAGACACTTAATTTGTCTAATTTTTTTTTTTTTTGTATCAGGGATTGAATTTGCAACCATGCGCTTATGTTGTTGAGCTATCTCTTGGGTCTCTAATCATTTTTAAATTTGTAAAATAAAACTAAAAGCCTAATAATGATATTTGAGGAATTCAACATGCCTTATTTTTCTTCCACATTGAGAAAGCTGAATTATTTTGGAAACTAAGTTATCATCATTGTGTATCTTAAACATTGAGTTATTTTATTTAATACTTAAATGTGATGATTCATTTCCTTAGGAATAGCTTACTTTTGCTGCCTTTGAAGATGGTAGTCTTTCTGTTTTGATTTTCATTGAGTAGTACAGTTTATCTTTTTAAATGAAACTTCTAGGTTACAACCCTGGTCAACACCAATAGCAAGGGGCCCTCTAATAAGAAGAGAGGTCGTTCCAAGAAGGCCCATGTTTTGGCTGCATCTGTTGAA